TAATATATACACACACCACACACACAGCACACACACACACATGCATGTATGTGTATATAAACATGTGTGTATGCACCTTATCCTCCCCGGCAGCAATCTCTGTCCCGAGCATTAAAACAGCAAACTCGCCATTACTATGCTCGAGTGTGCCTCGGGAGACGCAGCGTCTATCGGGGCGAACGAATATGTAAACAATGACTACCACAAAGGCGCAGCATTTGGTAGTCTTGCACAGATGATTCCCTTATCACCCCTTGACGCGTTTAGCATTGTTGCAGAGTTGCCTTGTTGCAAAGTTTGGTTCTGTTGCAAAGTTAGGTCTAGTCAATGTTTTTTTTTTGTTTGTTGTTTACTCGTGTTGTTTCTTAATGTATCTTTAGCGCTAAATTTTTGCACTGTGGGATAAACTGCAGGGATGTTGCAGGTTTTGTTGCTAGGATGCATTGCAAGGGTGATTCTCCTCGGGTATGCCGGTTGCTAGGAGGAGGAGAAGGACGGAGGAAGGATTTCAGGATCACGGGTTGAAAGAGGAAATAGGAAGTAGGGAAAGATAAGCAGATAACACAAAGAGGGAGGGGGAGGGGCAGGGAGGAGGAAGAGGAGTGATTGAAAAATAGGAAAAATAGGAGGCAGAGGGGGTGGTGGGGGGAGGGAGGGTTATAGGGGCGTCAACCTCCTCTAGAGATAAGCAGGATATCCACACATCCTGTAAGATCCTGACCAAGTAGGCGGGAGGAGGAGGGGGGGACATAGAACAAGATTCATAAAAAGGAGAAAATCAGGAAGAAAATCAAGCAAAAAAAAAAAAAAAAAAAAAAAATCAAAAAGAAGATAAAACTTAAAAGAATATAAACAAAAAGAGAACATCAAGAGAAAGAGAAAGAAAAGAGAAGAACAAAGAAATCAACGGGAGAAAGAGAGAGAGTGTAGGAGGAGAGGAGGGAGAGATAAGAAGGGAGAAGAAAGGGGGGGTAAATAGCCCAGGAAAGACACAGCAGGGAGCTAGCCCATGACCGCGAGGAGTTGGTAACAAGCTGGTTGTGAGAGGGAGGGGGAGGGGCTAAGAGGGGAGGGGGTGGGGGAGGGATAGAGAAAGAGAGAGAGGGGGGAAGAGAGAGAGAGAGGAGAAAGAAGAAAAGAGAAGAGAAGGGGGAAGGAAAGAGAAAGAGAGAGAAGGAGGAAGAGAGAGAGAAAGAGAGAGAAGACGGGAGAGAGAGAGGAGAGAGAGAGAGAGAGAGAGATGAGAGAGAGAGAGAGAGAGAGAGAGAGAGAGAGAGAGGAGAGAGAGAGAGAGAGAGAGAGAGAGAGAGAGAGACGTGAGAGGAATGAGAAAAGAAAAGAGGAAGAGAGAGAAAGAGGGGAGGTAGAGAGTCAGAGAAAGGGAAAGAGAGAAAGAGGAAAAGAAATAGAAGAGAAGATAGAAGTGAAAAGAAAGAAAGAGAAAAAGAATAAAAGAAGAAAGAACAAAAAACAGGAAATGGAGAATATATTATAATATATATATATATATATATATATATATATAATATATATATATATATATATATATATATATAGTATAAACAAAAAACAAAAACAGAAGAAAAGAAAAAAAAAAAGTCACCCTTAGTCAAAAGTCACGAAACAAAACAAAGAACCAGAAAAAAAAACAGAAAGAAAATGAGACAAAAAAGGAGAAATGGAAGAAGAGAAGATATAGAAGCGAAGAAGCGAAGTCAAGAGAAGGAAGAAGAGAAGGAAGGAGAGAGAACTTTTTTTATTTGTCCTTTCCCTTCTCTTTCCTCCTCTCTCTTCTCTCTCTTCTGTGGACCGAACTTTTTTTGCAAAGAAGATCGAAAAGAAGAAAACGAAATACAGTTAGACAGATAGATAGATAGAGAGAGAGAGAAGAGAGAGAGAGAGAGAGAGAGAGAGAGAGAGAGAGAGAGAGAGAGAGAGAGAGAGAGAGAGAGAGAGAGAGAGAGAGAAGAGAAGAGAAAGAGAAAGAAAAGAGAAAAAGAAAAAAAGAAAGAAAGAAAGAGAAAAGAAAGAGAAAAAGAAAGAAAAGAAAAAGAAAAGAAGAAATACTACTTCATATGAACATAAAATTAAATCGCACAAACTGTCTCATTATACGAACAATGTAACGAGCTATTACAACAATTTCCCATTTTTCTACAAATCATTACCCCTAATTAGTGTTTTAATTACCTTGTTATTTTAATTAATCGAGTCATCCTACTCTTTCAATGCTTTTCATCACGTAATCTCGTGAAAATTGACACTTGACACCATGGGGGGGGTGTCAAGGGGGTCTATGGGTGTCACATGAGATGGAAAATAAATGAGAAAAAGAAAATTCGTTTTTTTTTCAAGTTTATGTTCATTTATTTTAATGCTAGCTCTCTTTTGATTATTTTGCTAGATAATTTTCTTTGCTTGCTATTGATCTTTCTCTTTCTCTTATCTTTTATTTTTCTCTTTCTCTCATTTTTATTTTCTCTCTTCATCTTTTATTTTTTCTCTTTCCCTTTCTCTTTTTTTTTTTTCTCTAGCCTCCCTCCCTCCCCCCCCTCTCTCTCTCTCTCTGTGTGTGTTTGTGTGTGTTTCCCTCTCCTCCCCCATCTCTATGTCTACACTCTTGTTTTCTCTCCTGTTATCTCCCTCCCGCCTCCTTCTCCCTTTCTCCTTTCTCCTCTCTTTCTCTCTCCTACTTCACCTTCGACCCCCCCTTCGCCCCTGTCCCAAATTGACCTTCAAGTGACCTGTTGTGTGAACCGCGAGACCTGCGGTGAAAATAACCCGTTTGTCCACCCCCCCTCCACCCCCTCCTGTCTCCCTACCTTCTTCCTACACTCCCTCTTTCTCTTTCTCTCTCTCTCTCCCGCTATTATTCTTTCTTACTCTCACTCTTTCGAAACCCCCCACCCCCCACCCTCTCTCTCTCTCTCTCTCTCTCTCTCTCTCTCTCTCTCTCTCTCTCTCTCTCTCTCTCTCTCTCTCTCTCTCTCTCTTCTCTCTCTCTCTCTCTGCCTCCTGCTTTCTTCCTATCCGTTTTTATTTTTCTCTTGTTTTCCTTTAATCCTTCCCTTTTGCCTTTTCCCTTCCCAGTCGTTATCTTTCAATCTCACTTTTTCTCCCTTCCATCCTTTCCCTCTAATCCCTTCCCCTCTTATTCCCCTCTCCGTTAATATCTCTATCTGCAAATGCAATTAAGTGAATAACCATTTACCCAGTTAATTGAATAGTTTCATGGGTGATTAGTGTAACAATCTTGTCACGGACCAACTAGCAATATCCTGATAACAGTTTAATTGAGGTGATTAATGAACGGAATTGTGGTCTGATTGTTTGTAATTGTTTGTACTGGCCTTCTTCCTTTATTGGGGGTGGGGGGGTGGTGGTGTAGGGTGGTGTGGTGGGGTGGGTGGGGGTATTTCATTTCGTTTTTTTTCTTGGCTGACAAAGGGAAACTGAGGTCTGTTGGCTGTGCTTCTATATATCTTTATTCTCTTTTTCTTTTATTTTCCTTTCTTTACTGTGTTTTATTGTGTGTGTGTGTTTTTTTTTTTAAATCCCCTTTCACTGCCTCCCCTCCTCTCTCCCTCCTGTCTTCACGTTGTACCAATGCTTTTTACCACTTGTTTATTTCTTCACTTTTCTTCCTTCTCCTGCTTCCATTCTCCGCCGACAGATCGTCCCTCCTTCTGTCTCCCCTCCTGCCTCCGCTCTCTAACCCTCCTTCCTTTCTCTCCCTCCTACTCTCTTAACCCTGTCCTCCAACTCCTCTCTACCTTCATCTCTCTCTCTGTCTCTGTCTGTCTCTCTCTCTTTCTTTCTCTACCTCCCCCTCCCTCTCTTTCTCTCCCCCCTCTCTCTCTCTCTCTCTCTCTCTCTCTCTCTCCCTCTCCCTCTCCCTCTCCCTCTCCCTCTCCCTCTCCCTCCCTCCCTCCTCCCTCCCCTCCCTTCCTCCCTCCCTCCCTCCCCCCCTCCCTCCCTCCCTCCCTCCCCTCCTTTCCCCCCTCCCGTTTTCATCACAGTGGCAAACGGCTCCCCACAGACTATTCGCTCCATCACTGACAATAAGCTATTAACATGATAGGTCTACCTTTAATATAATGAGTTAATGCTTATAAACAGCGAGATCCCCCACCTTTATGAAGCGCTGTTGATGTATAGGCCTACGTGACTGCATAATAAATAAGAAAACAAGGAGGCAGAGCGTAAGAACAGGGTTTGTATAGAGGATTTCAGACAGTATTGGATCCCTTTGGTGCGCGTCTCGTGGCTATATATAGGAGGTTCTAATGGTCTATAGACGGACTGTAGATGGTGTGATTTGTGTTTTCGGTTGATTTTTTTCACCTATTATCGGTGACTGTACTTATATATCCTTTTTATATTTATGAGGGTCGTTGAATATGTATGAAATGTGATGAAATATATCTAATTTTAAAAGATTTATGCCGCGTAGAACCGTCCATGCATACATACATATATACTGTATCATCTATACTTTTATAACTTTTATATGGGCTTAGTTTATTATGTATCGTTATAACTATTATTATTATTATTATTATTATTATTATTATTATTATTATTATTATTATTATTATTGCTATGATGTCACTCTATATAATACATAATGTATCATCACTAGCTTTGTTATGTTATCGTTATTACTATCATCATCACCATCCTCATTGTCATATCGTGTGATGATGATTATTTGTTATGGTAATAACATGATAATTACCATTATACTTATTTAATAACTATAAGAAATGATCATCCCCATCTGTCTGTCTGTCTGTCTCTCTCTTTCTCTGTCTGTCTGTCTGTCTCTCTTTCTCTGTCCCTCTGTCTGTCTCTCTCTCTCTCTCTCTTATTCTTTCTTTCTTTCTCTCTCTTCTCTCTCTAATATAGCCTTATTCTTATCATCATAATCTCTACATTTATCTTTATCACTACTTCCCCCAATCCTCAAAATTCACCCCCTCTCCCTCTCTCTCCCGCAGTCCCAGCCTACGACGTGGTGCGGCTGCGGTCCCGGCTGCGGCGATCTGCGGACGGCGATGAGGTGCGGACGGTCCACCTGCGGGCGCTGGGTTCGTCGCAGATCCTGAACCTGCGGCCGAACGTCGACTTGGCCCGACGCGTCCCCCTCTTCTTCGCCGACCGGGACCACCTCGGGGGCGTGGCCGTCACCCCGACGTCGCATGTGAGTGTCTTGGCGTGTCGCGTCGTGCCCTGAGGGAGTCTGTTTGCTTGTTAGGAGTGGCTATATATGTTAGTTCTATATTTGCTTGTTTGGAGTAGTTGTATGTTAGTTCTTTAGTTGTTTGTTAGGAGTAGCTGTATATGTTCTGTATTTGCTTGTTAGGAGTAGTTATATGTTAGTCCTATATTTACTTATTAGGAGTAGTTATATGGTAGTTCTATGTTTGCTTGTTAGGAGTAGTTATATATGTTAGTTCTATTTTTGCTTGTTAGGAGTAGTTATATATGTTAGTTCTGTATTTGCTTGTTAGGAGTAGTTATATATGTTAGTTCTGTATTTGCTTGTTAGGAGTGGCTATATGTGTTATTTCTATATTTGCTTGTTAGGAGTAGCTGTGTATGTTCTGTATTTGTTTGTTAGTAGTTATAAGTTAGTTCTATAGTTGTTTGTTAGGAGTAGTTATATGTTAGTTCTATAGTTGTTTGTTAGTAGTTATAAGTTAGTTCTATAGTTGTTTGTTAGGAGTAGCTGTATATGTTCTGTATTTGCTTGTTAGGAGTAGCTGTATATGTTCTGTATTTGTTTGTTAGTAGTTATATGTTAGTTCTATAGTTGCTTGTTCGGAGTAGTTATGTATGTTAGTTCTATATTTGTTTGTTAGTAGTTATATGTTAGTTCTATATTTTCTTGTTAGGAGTAACTTTATATGCTAGTTCTAATCTACTTACCTATGCTCTATGTCTGGTTGTTTCCTTTACTGGGATGTTCGTATTACGGCCTATTGCTTCTTGAGGAAATTAAATTCATATCTCACCCGCTTTCTTTCCTGCCTACGTGAGAAGAGGCATGTTGTAGGCCTATGTATGAGCTTGCGTGGGCTGCCAACTAGGTCTGCGCTTTCAGAGGCGTATATAGGCCTATGCCCTTGGTATTCCGCCTTCTGTAAATCATGGGATAGGCCTATGCTCTACATCCTTCGTAATTCTCATAAAGAAAAATTGATCTTGCCTATAATCTCAATTTGATTATAAAGTTTCATTCGATATTCTTCTCCTTCCTTCATTCGCACCGTTGTATCCTGTCTCGAAATCCTTCCGTAAGTGATAGCTTTGTGACGAATGTAATCCTTTTGGCAGGATTTGGACGTGGGGATTCCGCATCAGGATGAGCAGTCCCTGGCGGCGGTCATGGTTGCCCATCATCCAATCACGGGCGCTTTGACGATGGTACGTATATAGATAAGGCCATGCGCACAAGGGTACATTTGCGGGCACGGGACATACCTATGTGCAGGAATATGCACGTGTAAATGTGCAAATATATGTACACTAATAAGTATACATACGCATACATAATCACAAACACACACGCACACGCACACGCACAAACACACACACGCACACGCACACGCACACGCACAAACACACACATGCGCGCGCGCGCACACATGCACAGATTTGCAGACAGAATGGTTGACATTACAACTATTATTATTGTTATTATTAGCATTATTATTATCATTATCATTGTTATTATTATTATTGTTATTATCATTATTATTATTATTTATTATTTATTTATTATTATTATTATTATTATTATTATTATTATTATTATTATTATTATTATTATTATTATTATTATTGTTATTATTATTATTATCATTATTATTATTATTAGCAATAGCATTATTATTATTACTATTATTATTATTATCATCATTATTATAGTAGTAGTAGCAGTAGTAGTAGTAGTATTTTCATGATCATTAGTATTGTTATTTTTGTTACTAATATTATTAGAATTATTTAGTTTGTAATTCTGGTTGTTGTATAAAGATCATGATAATCTTTATTTCCATTATCATTATCATTAGCATTATTATTAGCATTAGTATATTAATCATTATCATTCTTATTTCCATCATCATTACCAATTCAGACAAAAATGTAAAAAAAAAAAAAAAAAGATATCGAGAAAGTAAAAGGATAAGGAAAATTAAGCAGAAACTTAATCTTTAAATCTTTAATAAACTGGAAAAAGGAGAAATATTCTTCATGTTGCTTCTTCTTCAATTCTTTTTCTTCTCTCCTTTAGTCTCTCCTCTTCATTTCTAAATTATGTCTTCATCCTTACAGAGGGTTTGCTGTAATGGCGATGAAACACGCACACACGCACACACACACACACACACACACACACACACACACACACACACACACACACACACACACACACACATACACACACACACACACACACACGACACACACGCACACACATACACACACACACACACACACACACCACACACACACACACACACACACACACACACACACACACACACACACACACACACACATACACACACTATCCATCTATCCTTTCTAACTAACTGTTAATCAAGAGAGAGAGAGAGAGAGAGAGAGAGAGAGAGAGAGAGAGAGAGAGAGAGAGAGAGAGAGAGAGAGAGAGAGAGAGAGAGAGAGAGAGATGCCTCATTCCGTCACCACAACCCCTCCTTCCTATCCTACCCCCACCCCCTCCCCCGCCATCAACCCCCCCCCCCCACTCCCCTCTCCTTCTCTCTCCATTTAAGGTCAAGGAAAGGACGTGACGGAAAAAATAAAGGTGTAGCGTTGTTTAGCAAAGATACCTGTGTATGTGTGTGTTTGTGTCATTGTGTGTTGATTTGGAGTATTTATTTTCGTGTGCGTCTTATCTTTTTTTTTTTTTTCTTTTTTTTTTTTGCTTTTGTGTGTGTGTGTGTCCTTTCTTCCCCCCTTTTCTCTTCCTTAAGCTTCGTTTCTCTCCTTCTCTCTCTCTCTGTCTCTTCCTCCCTCTCTCCCTCTCTCCCTCCTTTTTCTTTCTTTCAATCTCCCTCCTTTCTCTCTCCCTCTCTTCCTCCTTTCTCCTTCTTTCTCTCCCCTTTATCTCTCTTTCTCTCTCTCCCTCTCTCCTTCCTTTCTCTCCCTCTCTCCCTCCTTTCTCTCCCTCTCTCCCTCCTTTCTCCTTTCGCTCCCCCCCCCCCTTTCTCTCTCTTTCTCCAACCGGCGTAGTCCAGTGCCCGACCACAGTCACCAACCACAAAAAGATAGTATGACACCACATTTCTTAACGGTGGGGGGGTAAGGGGGGTGAGGGGGTGTAGGGGATGAGGGAGAAGGGTGAAAATGGATTGGGGGGTTAAAAGGAAAGGGTCAAGGGTGTAGGAGGGAGGAGGAGAGGGGGGAGGAGGGGGAGAAGATTTTTTTTTTTGGTAATAATGGTTGTGATGATAATAATTGATGATGTTAGTGATGATGATGTTAATGGTGTTAGTGACAATGATAGTAATAGTAATAAAAGAAAATGATTACAATAATGATAACTGTAATGATAATGATAATGATCTTAATAATGATGATAATGATAATAATGATAATGATAATTTCAATATTGATGATAATATTGATTATGATATGATGATAATGATGGTGATGACGGTAATGATGATAATGATAATAATGATGATGGAAATGATAAAAATGACAATGAAAATAATGATGATAAAAATAAGCATAATAATATAAATATCAATAATGATAATATGGATATTCACAATGATGTTGATAATGGTGATAGTAATAATAGCAATTATGTTAATGATATCAATAATAATATCAAACAACAGCAAGTATTGTTGTTGCTCCTCCTCCTACTCTTCCTCTTCCACCTCCTCCTCCTCCTCCTATTCATGTTCCTCTTCTCCTTGCTCCTCCTCTTCCTATTTTTTCTTCTCCATCCTATTCTTCCTCCTCCTCCTATTTTTCCTTCTCCTTTTCCTCCTATTCCTACCACCGCCACCACAGGAAAATTAAAGAAGAAAGTTATAACCTCACATTTATGGTTAGGATGATAGTTTATATGATGATGATAATAGCAATGATGATGATGATACTAATGAGAACATGGATAATTAGATAATCATTATTATGATAGTGAAGGTAATGATAATAATAAGAGTGACAATAGTAATGATAATGATGGAAATAATAATAGCTATGATACTGATGATGATATAATAATAATGATAATAATAATGATACATATCATAATGATAATGATAACAGTAATAGCAATGGTAATAATGATTTTGATAATATTGATAATAATAATAACAAAAACAATGATAACAATTATGGCAGTAATTATGATAGTAATAATAATAATAGTAAAGATAATAATAATAATAGCAATGATAATGATAATAGTAATAATAAAGATAATAATAATAATAGCAATGATAACAGTAATAATGAAAATAATAATAATAATAATGAAGATACCAAAATCATAATAACGATAAACCAAATAAACGCAAGAAAACACAAAACCGATACAAAAGAACAATCACAGAAAAAAAAGTTAAATAACGGGGGTGGGGACAGGTGGGGGGGGGGGGGGTCAGCGGGCACAGAGATCCCGACAGTCCCCGAAAACGGCCGTCGGGACACAGCCGACGGTCGCAGCCTCAGACCCAAACCTGTCTCGGTCGCTCCCGGATCTCCTAGAGGCCACAGCATCCCCCTTTCCCCTCTCCCTCTCCCTTCCCCCTCCCCTTCCCCCTCCCTTCCCCTTCTCCCCCTCCCCCTCTTTCTACCTTGTTACAACGCATTTCCTCTTTTATCTTTTCTACCTTTCAACCTTCTCCTCCTCCTCCCTTCTCCCCCCTTCCCCCTCCCTCTCTCCCCCTCTCCCTCCCTTCCCCCCTTCTCCTCCTCCCCCCTCTTTCTACCTTGTTACAACGCATTTCCTCTTTTATCTTTTCTACCTTTCAACCTCCTCCTCCTCCCCTCCTCCCCCCCTCCCCTCCTTCTTCTTCTCCTCGCACACTAACTTCATCCCCTCTCCTCCTCTCCTCTCCTCGCCTCTCCCTCTGTCTCTCTCTCTTTGGTTGTCTTATATTTTGTTCTTTGTCGTATTGAATTTATTTGTATTTTTTCTCTTCTTATATATCTACTTCATTTACTCGAC